TCTTTATAGAGTTTTCTACACAGCCATTTTGATTGTTACATTTTCTTATAACGGTTACTATCGACAGAGCAAGCTTTGCTTGCATACTCAAGCGATCCTTAGACACATTATAATGATTGGTATAGAATTGACCACAGTACTAAGGACATTGAACCGCACTGTAGATATCTTACAGTACCTGCTAATCTTGACTTGGTATGTCCATCACCGTACATTAGTTATCGTAATGTGCTTTTAGCATTAATACTGTATATAGTAACCATCCTTATTCGGTAAACATACTAATACGAAAGTTACTTAACGAAATTTGAATTGGCATAGAAATGAATGATCTCTAGGGTTTATGTAAATATTATTGAGAAGGTAGAAGTGATTGATACACATCAGGAGGTACTATTAGTTCTATTGCTCTCATGCAATTCGTAGTGTTACCCTACTGTAGTTCCCCTGTCCCGGTTATTTTTGATTGCTATATATCATATAACAAAAAGTGTTTCTAAGAGGATAATGTCAGTTAGTCAACGATCTGATAGGCGAAAGCGAAGTGAACAACGTGGAAATACACGATCAGTACGTACATTAAATCAATCTGTAAGTCATATCAGGAATTCTGAAGTAGATAGTACTCCTAGAGATCAAAATCAGCCAGCAGGTAATCGTAGCAGAAACTATCATCATCGCCAATTACATCGAATAGGAAGATTAGGTGATATTGACTCGATAGCAACAATCGATGATTTTGTATCTGCTCAGCATACATGCGGCTATATGAACCATTCCTGCAGTTACTGCAATGCACAAATGTGGATATCTGAAAAAGTTGGGGGAACCATAGATCGGCCTAGATTTAGTTTATGCTGCCTTAATGGCAAAATAAGTATACCAGAAATACCTGATCCTCCGGCAGTTTTACGTAATCTCCTACTTAATAACGATCGAATAGCAAGATATTTTCGTTCAAAAATAAGAAAATTTAATTCCGGGTTATGTATGGCTACTATGAAAGCAACTGATGCAAGTATAACAGGTGTTAGCAATTATCGAATACATGGTACGGTCTATCGAATGATAGGTCCCGCACGTAATGCTGATGGTGAACAATCTTCATGCATACAGACCTACTTTTATGACGTAGACGAACAAATTCGACGTAGAGTTAACAGATACGATTCATCATCTGATGAAAGAGCTTTAGAAAGTGAAATATTTGGAAGGCTCACTGTTATGTTAGAAAATGCACCAAACACTTACTTACTATCGTTTTTAAACTTGCAAGAACTCATGGATGCTGGCGAGATACCAGAAGATATACATATCGAAATTAATGCTGATCGTAGACCGCCTACAGAACATGCACGGCGTTTCAATTTGCCTACAAGCACAGAAATAGCTGTACTACTGCCGACTGAAAGTTATGCAAGTCGCGACGAACGAATGATTGTCTGCAGCTTCAGGGCTCAGCAAGACTCTAGAAATAATTTACAGTTTTTCAAAGATACCCATCGCAGTTATGATCCGTTGTGTTACCCTGTTTTATTTTCTTTTGGAACTGATGGCTTTCATCTCGGCATTAGTCAACAATCAACTAATAGAACTGTGACAGCAAAAGAATTTTATAGTTATCGAATGATGAAACGTGTAAGCAGCTTCAATATACTGCATCGTTGTAACCGGTTATATTAGCAATATTGCGTCGATATGTGGGCAAAGATCGAATCAGGTCGATTGAGCTATCTACGATTCCATCAGAATGAAGTCCGAAGCGAGGTTTACCGAGGGTTACAAGATGCTATACATGAAGGCGATGCTGCACGAGCTGGACGTCGTATAATTTTACCTTCTACATTTACTGGCAGTTATAGATTTACGGTGAAGCATTACTACGATGCCATGGCTATTGTCAGAAAATTTGGTAAACCTACGTTATTTATAACATTTACATGCAATGCACAGTGGCACGAAATAATTAGCGAGCTCAAACCAGGACAATCAGCTGCAGATCGTCCGGATATTACGGCGAGAGTGTTTAAAATTAAGCAACAAAGATTATTATACGATCTCCGGAACGGTATCCTTGGCAATCTGAATGCTTTCATGTATACCATCGAGTTTCAAAGCGTGGTCTACCTCATTGCCACATTCTATACATTTTAAATCGCGAAGAAAATACTTGGGAGGAAATTGATAAAATAGTTAGTGCAGAATTTCCTGATCCTGGTAATCCTAGAACTGCAACATTGTATGAATGCGTTAAAAAGTACATGGTACACGGACCTTGCGGTAACAGTAATCCAAGGTGTTCATGTATGTTAAACGGCGTTTGCACTAAGAAATTTCCAAAAGAATTTTGTAATCGGACGCAAGTAGGTGACGATTGCTATCCCACATATCGGCGTCGAATTCCAACACAAGGTGGTTTTACAGCTTTTGTATCCACATGCAACAGAATTATTCAAGTCGATAATCGCAATGTTGTTCCTTACAATCCGTGGCTATTGTTAAAGTATCGTGCACATATTAATGTTGAATATTGTGCATCAATAAAAGCTGTTAAATACCTGTATAAATATATTTATAAAGGTCCTGATCTAGCGACAATAACATTTGAATCAGATGATGATCGTATACGCGTTACCACAGCGGCCGCATCAGGTACCAACGACGAAATCAAACAGTACGAGCTCTGCCGCTTTGTTGGAGCATCGGAAGCTGCATGGAGAATATTTGCTTTCAATACCCAAGATCGTTTTCCAGCCGTTGAAATTCTACCAGTTCATTTACCAAATCAGCAACAAGTTATTTTTGATCCTCGCGATCCACAAAATGCACTAGAGAGACGAAATAGGACCAAACTGACAGCATATTTTAATAAAAATCGTGAAGATTTTAGAGCACGTAATGTATTATACTGCAACTTTCCGGAATATTATACATGGCAGAGTAATCAAAAAGTTTGGAAATGCTCCTATTATGTTATTACGTAATCTAGATCCATGTAACGGGCATTGTAATGGATCGCGATACATGTTGACCTCTATTGCTGAAAGACTGTTGGTGGCGCATATACTTGGTGGAGAACATGCCGGCTCTATCATTTTAATACCACGTATTAATGTTTCCCCATCTGACACTGATCTTCCATTTCAGTTGATAAGTCGGCAATTTCCTATACGCCCAGCATTTGCTATGAGTATTAACAAAAGTCAAGGGCAAACTTTTAATCGATGTGGAGTACTTTTGCCTACCAGTGTTTTTACTCACGGCCAGCTATATGTAGCCATAAGCCGCGTTGGAAATCCTCGCGATTTAAAGGTGTTTATTGATCGAACGGAAATTAATTCCTTACTCCATAATAGAGTTAACAGTAACTTGCCAGGTTACAATAATGGCATATGCCGAGTGACACGTAATGTAGTTTATAGGGAAGCTCTACATTGAATTAGTGATTATAATACTATACTTAGGATAAAGCGTCTAGGCTAATATCAGTTTATATAACACATTTTGCAGCCACAAAATGTAATGCTTTAATTCCGAACGTAAAGTAAATAAATTTTATTGCATTATGAATTTGTGATATGTAAGGGAGTAATTGCCATATTACTTTTATTGTTCCTTTGCAATACATCAATAATATTCTAATCAGCATTATAGAGTAATCGGATGTTAATAAAATGTTGTCAAATTATGCAAAGTAAACTTGCAAATGAGTGTTCAATCATAATATTACTACTCAGCAATGGTTAATATAATTTTAATCTGTCCAGTAGCATTATTCTTCACATTAGGATATGTAGAGCAGATATTATAATTGCCGAATTACTATCAAAGACTGTAATAAGGTTACATCCGTGAATGCATTATTGAAAAGTAGTATTCTACAAGCATATCTGTGAATATACTCAGTAGTGCCCGGCTATTACCGGGATATATATAATGTCGAATGGTAATACTAACTATTAATTATTAACAAATGGGTACGTTATCAAATGCCGCGCCCGTACAATTAACAGTACTGTACTTTTGTACAGCATACAGTACACGGATAACGGTAAAAAGTTACTGAACCTCTGACAGGTCTATCAAATGG